GTGTCAAAAGTATGGCAATATGGGTGTCCTTTCCTACCAAAATGGGTATCCCGGGCGCGTTGGTGCAGTCCAATTCGTCGTCGGAGGTCATCCGGAGAAGTTCGCATTTTCACCCGTCCTTTGGGCTTAATTGAAGTCTGATTTCGTGCAGTTTCGTGAATTTCGTGTATTTGATGTGTGTATGTGACGAAAAAGGTCGTGACGATGTTTTCCTAAGGCTTGAAGTCCTATTTGGAACATTTTCCTTGAATCTACGCAACATAGCCCATAACCGCTCGTTCATAAGACGATGGTCTTGTGCCAAAGATGCTAGACATCAAAGGAAAATAAGAATTGGCTGGAATTTCTAGAAGGGTGAGTCTCAATTCTAGTTTTCTAAGATGGTCCATAGGAATTTCTAGAGCTAGAACCTAGGCTCTAAGGAGGAGAAGAAAAGACCTCACAAAAATGAGGTCAACAGAGCACTACATACTTTTCAAGACAACTCCAAATCACAAATGACAATCAAAATCATGCAAATGGCCGAATAATCTTGTTTCAAAAACTATGAATGAAGGATACTCTAAGCTATTCTTCTACAAATTGAACTAATTTTTTCTAACTTTTATGGTCTGTCAAGGTGTATTGTACCATATGGAAAAAGGCAATTTGTCCATATAATCAAAATGCTTACCTCCAACTATTTGGCATAAGTGTGGGCTCCAAAACCACCCATGTGATGATTATTCATGGGCGGCAATCTCCCCCTTACAACTCTGATAGAGGCTAAGCGGTATGGCATTTTCCAAGGCAGATTAGGGAGGATATCCTAGAGATTTACCTCAACCTAGATGCCGTAACGGACTAACATTTATTCAATATGAGTGGGATACAAGGTTCCCCCAAGAAATAATCTCCAATAGTTAATTACAACTACAATGTAATGCCAAGAGCAATCAATTAGAACATTAAGGTGATAAGTGCATTCAAAAAGGTTAAAGGGTCAACCTGTGACTAAATTAATAGCTTAAAGGCCTTGACGTGGCCAATTTGGTTGTCCAAGGTGAGGTCGGGCTTACCTACAGTGAATGCACCCTAAGTCACGTAAGGAAAGATGAAGTTGGCTTGGAGGTACAAAATGCAATTTACTACAATATGAAGTGTTAGTATGTGATAGACATTAGTTCATTGGTAGGAGAGTCAACTCAGATTGACAAGTTTTTGGGTTTGATGCAAAGTTGACACTAGTTAAATATGCTTGATCCAAACCCAACTCATTTATTATATGGTTCAAAATATTTGACCTAAACTCGGCTGGATTCAAAACTGCCTAACTCGAACCCAAACTATCTAACATTGCACCTAAGCCGCATAAGAAAGGATGAAGTTGGCTTGGAGGTACAAAACGTGATTTTAGTGCAATATGAAGTGTTAGTATGTGATAGACATTAGCTCAAAGATAGGAGCGTCAACTCAGATTGACAAGTTTTCAGGTCCGACCCAAAGTTGGCCCATTTTAAATATGCTTAATCTGAATGAACCCAACTCATTTAATATATGGTTCAAAATATCTTACCCAAACTTGACTAGATTCAAAGCTGCTTACCTCAAATCAAAATTATATAACATGTTTACAATATAGATCATGCAAATTTTTTTATCAATATGGCCTACTTAACCCCATCAACCTGGCCTGAACCCACCTAAAACAAACCCAAACAGTAGTCGCAGGCCAACTCAAACCAAATAATAATCATTTTTATAATTTAAAACCTGAATCTGGCTTAGATAATAATCAAGTCGACTCGAACCTGAATTTTTTGAGGCAACTCAAGTTTAGGCTCAACAAAAGTAAATGCGCCCCAAGCAACCTGAGAAGAGGTTGCATGCCAAACTTAAGGAACCCACCTCTCCAAGTAATTTCAAGAAATTATCCTAGAAATACAGCCCAAGAAAACCAATATGGCTGACCATGATTTAGTAGTGAAGGGAAGTGAGCATCAAAGGTACAATACACTATGCTTGGCTGATTAGCTCAGAAGTGTTAACACATGATCGTCTCTAACTTGGATGCTGACATAGAGAATTTAGTTATCCGAGAAAAAATCATAAATCATTCTCAAAAAAAGGATTATATTAAGTTATGTAAGTGGATATACTTAAGTGCCATAAGGCACCTTTGTCATTAGGATTGATCGTTGGGAGTTCATCCCTAGCCACAAAGATTATGTAAAGAACAAATAATCATGTCCACAGGTTTCCATGGGCTAGGAGTCCTGAGTTAACCAAGCTTACATCAAAATCCATCTCAAACATAGGGAGTGGTGTTTTCTTTAAAGAGAATAGGATCTACTTGGACAAATGAGTCCTAATATTGAGAAATTTTGCACATAGCTTTGAGGGGAAGAGTAACATGAAAAGTGGGGCTTACATCCTATAGCGAGAAAGACCAAATGGAATAGGTCTTTCTTTCCTAAGCCAGCATGTTAGCTTGATGCTAGTTAAATTGGTGTGGGCTTTGAAAATTCATGCCTTGACCACAAAAAGAAAATCTATGAGAATGCTAGTTTATAGCTTCTCACATATTTCATTTATACAAAGGTATAAACTGAGAAAGCAAAATCAACTAAGAAAGAAATAATTTGATTTGGACTAGGTTGGTTGAATCTATACAACAACAACAACAACAACAACAACAATAACAGGACTTTATCCCACTAAGTGGGGTCAGCTACATGAATCATTTTTCTCCATTGCATCATATTGTATGCCATATTTTCATTTAATTCTAATAAATTAAGATCACATTTTATAGAATATGCCCAAGTCTTTCTAGATCTACCTTTGCCTTTCTTAACATAAGTCGAATCTAAAACATCGACTCTACTAACCAGATCATCAAATGGTCGACGTTTAATGTGACCAAACCATCGAAGACGATCTCTAATTTTGTCCGCCACGGGAGCTACACCAACCCTATCATGGTATATTAGTTTCACATTTTGTCTCCAAGTATAAAGCCACTCATCCATCTAAGCATTCTCATCTCAACAACACTTAACTTAATTTTATACTTCTCTTTTAAAGTCGACATTTTGCGCAATAGAGCATTGCAGGTCTCACCACCATCTCATTGGGCTGAATGTATAATCAGGAAAAAAAATTATTGTTTTAGCAAAGCTATTATTTCAGGAAAACTTATATACATTTTGAAGGATGTTCCAATCGATGGATATGAAGAAAACATCTCTAGAAGACTACACATTGCAGGGACAACGCCATGTCCATGACATCAAATTCCAATGTCTGTCTAAGAAGAACAGCAAGAAAATGTGAATCTATGCGGCACAGACGTGCTCATTATAGAAAACAGAATTTCAATTATCAAACTCACATTAGAGACCAATTCAAACGATGAATCTGATCTTCAATAAGATCTCTCTCTCTCCTCAAACGCCGAAGTTCCTGAGATAAGATTGTGCAACTTATAAGCACTGAGTAGTCCTTCAATTTCTTATAATAGATAAAGATAATGACAAAGCAAAGAAGAAGAAAAAACTATTTTAAATAAATGACAAATATAGTTTTCCTTCTAATGCCAGGACCACATGTTCCATCACAGAATGAATGGAATATATTATCCGCTGCTTTCTTCACGTACAGAACAAATTCCTAAGGGCTTTCTGATAATCAATCATGAACCTCTCTTAAAATCAATCTTATTTTCACATGGTGTTAAAAGGAAAGCACAATTGCTAAATTAGTCATAGATTTGCGCTGAAAACAGTTTAATATAAACACAAATGAACATTTCAGGATTTAGGGTGCTCATTGCAGATCCGTGTTCCTTCTGTTTGAAGGCTCTGCGTGGGTTATACATTTATGCTGTTCACGTAGTTCAATTTGTTTATACAGACTGCAGAAAAAATATCTGAATTGAAAGATCAATTATGTAGTTCAAAGTTGATTGACAATTTTGTGCTTTAACAACATTTTGATCCAAGCAGTAAGGAATTGCAAACAACTAAACAAATCACTTCACGAATGAATAGATGCAAGTAATTGTCAATCAGGAAGAACGGAAATCGGGTAGCTAAATTAGGAGTTTTCTATAATCAGGAACTTCATTATTTAAATTATTTCCAATGTCTTTATTCTGATTTATTTCCCTTTTAGCTGAATATTTATATTATGAATATGTATTATTAAGTTATCTAAAATAGATTATGCACTTTATTATATACCTAAAATAGATTGTAAGATTATTATTTAATGGAATGAAAGCAAAGGGAAAGGGGATCGAGACTATTCAGAATTTAACCTATTTTTCTCAAAACTTTGACATGACATTAGAGCCAAATTTTTGTTCTAACCACCGATAGTCTTTGGAGGACCGTCAAGATTAACTTCCCACCGACCTTTTTGCGGGACGGGAAGGGAGGAACTATTTCTTTGCCTTGATTCTCGCTTTGCTTTGTCTAAAACCATGTCTAGTTCGTCTGCACTGCTAGACTGCTTTGGCGGCTTCATCTGGACCGTTCACCTGCTCGTTTGGCTCGCTCAACCTCGACTGTTCAATTGCTTTCCCTGCTTCCACTGCTTCGCTTGATCGTTTGCCTCGACTGTTCAGTCGATTAATTGCTTTGTCAGTTTCGTCTACTGCGCTCGCTCCCTCTACTTCGTTTGCTTCAACTTTGACTGGTCCATCTGCCTCCTACCGCTTTGTGAAAGAAAAATAACTTTAGTTCGTCGAAGCTAAGAAACAATGTCGGGCCGAGGAAAGGGAGGTAAGGGCTTGGGAAAGGGTGGAGCCAAACACCACTACAAGGTTCTACACGACAATATCCAGAGCATCACCAAGTCTGCGATCCGTCGCCTTGCTCGCCGCAGTGGCATGAAGCGCATCGGTGGTCTGATCTACGAGGAGATGCAAGGCGTGCTCAAGATCTTTCTTGACAACGTCATCCGCGGCGTTGACCTACAGCGAGCACGCTCGCAGGAAGACCGTCACAACCATGGATGTTGTTTATGCCCTTAAATGTCAGGGTCGCACCCTTTATGGCTTCGGTAGTTAACTTCTGCGGTTTCTGGAATCGTGTGTTTCATTGGAATTAGGGATCTTTATGAAATGTTTGCTGCCCTTCTTGTGAAGAACAAGGTAGAAAAGAAGAATTATGTCTTGAAGAAGATTAGACTTGCTCGACAGACAAATAGATGTCGTAGGTCTACTCGCCAAGATATGAAACTTATTCTAAAGTGCAAAATCCAAATCCATTCATTGTGGCATTGTGGAGTATAAAGATTCTTGGGTTGAAAAGGGTTGTTATGTTTGTATCATCATTTGTCCAATTAAGATCTTCTTCGCTAGGCATCAGTGCTTCTGTGGTATCTTTGACACTCACGACTTTGGCATCTCACCTTCAGCACTTTTGCGTGAAGATCAGAGAACAAATTTTCCTCTTCGTTGCAGAAAAAATCAATAGCATTTGGATCGTATAACAGGACGTGGATCCTACTTGTGGACGTGGATCCTACTTGTGGGCTATGATCGGTAGCATTTAGATCAGGACGCGGATCCTACTTGTAGGCTATGATCGATAACATCTAAATCGTGTAACTAGATCCTATTTGTGGGCTATGATCGGTAACATTTGGATAGGGACGCAAATCCTACTTGTAGACTATGATCGATAGCATCAAGATCGTGTAACTTGATCTTATTTGCGGGCTATGATCGATAGCATTTGGATCAGGATGTGAATCCTACTTGTAGGCTATCATCGATAGCATGTGGATCGTGTAACTAGATCCTATTTGTAGGCTAAGATCGGTAGCATATGGATTAGGACGCAGATCCTACTTGTAGGCTATGATTGATAACATCTGGATCGTGTAACTGGATCCTATTTGTGGGCTATGATCGATAGCATTTGGATCGTGTAACTGAAAGCAGATCCTTCTTGTGGCTATGATTCAAATTTCTGGACGACAATGACAAAATATTTCTTGCTTTTCTTTGCTCAAATCATGTTATGGTTCAGGAGTTGTCTCTGACGCTTCGACATTCTTAGCTTCGAAACTCATGGCTTGAGAATTTTTGGACCCAACAGTGTTATCAGTTTCTTGTTGGAAAATTGATGCTTCATGATCAGTCAACATCAATTTAAGGGGGGAAGTCAATCAGGAAGGACAAAAATCAGACAGCTAAATTAAGAGTTTTCTATAATTAGGAGCTTCCTTATTTAAATTATTTCCAATGTCTTTATTCTGATTTATTTCCCTTTTAGTTAAATATTTAGATTAAAAATATGTATTATTAAGTTACCTAAAATAGATTATGCACTTTATTATGCACCTAAAATAGATTGTAATATTATTATTTAATGGAATGAAAGCAAAGGGAAAATGGATCGAGCTTATTCAGAATTCAACTTATTTTTCTAAAAACTTTAACAAAATCCCTTAAACAAAATTACCATCTATAAGAACAAGCTACGTATAAATTCAACCAAATTAAAGTTTGATTATAGCAGGTCCAAAGCAAAATAATAAGCTCTTGTAATGAAATACAGGGACGAAAAGAAAATTCATCACCAAGCTGAGAAAATGGGACATCAGTCAGAAATATTAAGATCCCTATATACAAGATTATGGAGAAGAACTCGAAGTTGCAGACATAACGTCCCGAGTGTGATAGAATAACTAAAAGGTTTAAGGAAAAATGGCAAAAGAAAATAAATGCCAAATCAAAAGAATGTCTGAAGAAAAAAGTTGATGGAGAGGAATCTAAGGTGTGCCAGCTATGTTATAAGGAATGAAAGGGATAAAAGATAAAAAATAAATCCAAAATACAAAGAAAATAAATTTTAATATTCATTCTTAAATTGAAATGCAAAACTAATGTTGCAAATGGTAACATAAACTATTACCAATTCTAGTGACAAACGCAAGAACAACCCTAGTTTCCAAGGTCACTTAAGCAACCATTATTGTGCATCAATCATTTAAGGCCCACTTGCATCACTTTTGTTTTATGCTTTCATTTTTGTTTTTACCTTTAGAAAATGCTTGGTTTGTATAAATTTTATATTTTTTTATTTTTTATTTTAAAAAAAAAGTCAACTTGTTTTTAAAAACAAATACCAAATCCAAATATGTTTTAATTCAAATCAATAAATAATGAATATAAAAGAGAGAAAAAAAGTGATCCCAAACGAACCTAAGCATTTCTCAACTTGTTTTGAGGGAGCGGAGAAGAATATCGTCTCAATAATGAAAGAATAAATATTCCACCTCAATCTATTTGGAATGCCAAGGATGAGCTAATTACTGATGCAAGTGCCTTCTTTTCCACAACAGCTTTAAAACAATATAGGCATAGTTATAAGGCAATAAAAAAGTGAGATTGACAGAAATTTAATCGAGATATGCATAATAGAAGTTAATCGAATCATTTATGACACAACATCCATCCCATGGATGACAAACAAACATGGTCAATTCCATATTATTAAACCTCCATATATCATGCTTGCAAGATCATTATTCAATTTACTTTTCATTTAAATTCAAAATAATATTTTTAGGCCAATTGAGAATCAGATCATACCACCGCTTTCCAGCCACGGAGACAGTAGATGTGCTAGTTCTACAACTTAGCTTATTATGATATCTCTGATACTATATTTTGAGTGCAAAAAAGTTTGACCATAAAAAGAGTGGAGTGTTTGTGCGTTTTAATGAACCTTTTGGGTTTTCCGCGAGTCCCAGAGAAGTTCCACCTCTTTCTCAAGCTCTGGAACAACAAGCATTGTCCTCCAACCTAACTTGGTAATTACATCAGTTGAAATTAATCATGACAAAAAAACCGTCAATAACACGTTTATGAGAAGAGAGCATATTTATGTTGGAAAATGTAAATGAAGATTCTGAATAAAACAAAAATTTATGACAATAGATTCAATTCATCTAAATTAAACGATTAATCAATGAAATAAGAAATATTAGCTGATGAATTATTTTTAGCTTCACGTCTCGTTAAAGTGCCCATGCAAATGTCAACTCCTCCATTAGTATACTTTGAAACAGACTATGTTGACATAAATGAGACAGCCAATATTTAACTTCTTAAGAACTGTAAAAAATTACAACTACGATTTTTTTTTTTGTCAATAGAACAAACAATATTTGATTTAACAACTTAATGAGTTGGCAATTTCAATACATCCATCATTTCCTAATAAAAATAGGATGGAAAAAACCTATGTAGCATTGACACTTCTAAAAATGTGTCGTACCGGTGCCAGACACGTATCGGACATCGACACTTCTCCGACACTACAAAATATATATCTTAATTTGCTTTAGGCGCGAACATGTCTGGGACACCTCAACACCGTATCGAACGCGTGTTTAAAACTATTTCAACATGGAAACTAGAAAATTATAAATATACGTATAACTTTAATTATAACTGATGTCGAGTATCAAAGGTGTATCTAATATTCGTCGAAGCTAAGTATTAAAAATTCCCTCTTTGCAATCATAAGATTTTTAAATTTTAGTACATAAGTTGAATTATAAGTTGGATGAACTTTTTTTAAGCATATTATATCTAATTTTAAAAACTAATTTTCATAAGTATGAGGTTTTATAATTGTTAAATCCAAAAGTGTCCAAGAAATACACCCAAAGAATAGAACTTTCTGCTAGGAATTGAATAGAGAGAGAGAAAGAACAGTAATGAATAGTAAAAGAGAGTGTCTTTTATTCATGACATAGCTCCCTATTTATAGACATAAGTCCAATATTACAAAAGTACATATTAGGCCTCTCATCACTAACTTTTCTTGAAAATGTTCATTTGCATTCCTATATCAAAAAAAGTACAAAACTATGCATGTATGCATCTATGATGCACAAAAGTTAGATCTATCATCTACAAGTATAGTAAAGAGTTCCCTATCATCATCCACATACTTCAAATAAAAGACCCCCTAAGGGCACGCTTAGCACAAGAATGGGCGGCCCTATTACAATCCCAAGGTATATGAAAAAACAAAACTTGTCTAAAATTTAACAAAAAAAGCAAAGTCCGGTGCAATAGATGATTGCCAACGCCATATGTCTTGCTTCATGGAGTTTTGTAAGAATTGCATGGTATTTGTATTATCTCCTTCAATAATGATCACCTTGTACTCAAGCATCCATGATTGACAAAAATTACAGAGTTATTCACATATAATAAGACCGGAGACTGCTTCGATCGATGAGAGTTCTTAATCATCTGATAAGCCTTGACTCAATCGATATCTAATCCAAAAGAGTGCTCCCTGTGGATCGTCCTGAAGGCTGTTTATCGCTCTGCAAGAGCTTCGCCCGACGCCTTCCGCCGATCGTTTGAACAAAATGCTTCTCTTGCCAATATTCAGCCAAAAAACAATCGTTGAAGGAACTGTTCGGTCGTCTGCATCTTCTTCCTGAGCCGTTCATCGTCTTGACTTTCGTGCTGACATCTTTTATATGTATATATTCAGTTCCCTAATTCTCTTATTCCTCGAAAGCTGTAGAGTACATGAGGATAAGAGAATCTTTTTAACATGTATGAAATAATTGAATGATATTATTGCGCAATAATGGACTTCTCTAGATTTCGGTGCCCAAGCCATTATAAATAAGCTTTGGGGCAAGGGAGTTTTGCACCGCCTCCGTTTCTTCTTCTCCTTTGTCTCGTGTCCTTTTCTTTTTGTGTTTTTTTCAGAATGTCTGACGAATGTGAGCCACCTTCCGATAAGAGTGTCCTCCTTAAAGCCATGAGCGATATGCGGACGCAGCCGCGCAGGCCCGTAAGTTGGACATGAAGTGTAAGCCGACGTGAGAGGCATCCGCTGAAGGGGCAAGCAGGAAGAGAGTTGTGCCCGAGCTAGGAGCCAGTGATCGTGAGAGCTGACCTGGTTTTTCCGGTTTCCTTGCGGGCTCACCTCAAAAAGGGTTACAGGGCAGGCTAGAGGCCGTCCTGACGATCATCCTAAGGGACACTCATCGATGATGAGTGTTCATGCTGCAAGAGAGAGATTGTTTGTCTAGATGGTTGCGGGGGCCACGGTTCCTCAGAGGGGTCCCAAGGAGGCAGTAGTTGAGGCCGAAACATGGCTTCGATCAACTATGAGCTATATTTCTTCTGAAGGTAGAGGATAAGAGAAAGTCAGTGAAGACATTTTTTCTTACACCACATCTGAATGGGGGCGGATTCTTGGCATTTAGCTTGAATTGCCTTTTGCATTTATTTTTCCTGGTGAAACAACTGAAGTCTTGACTGTCGATTCTGTATCGGTAGATACTAACGCTGGTCCGGAGGATGACGCGGGGTTGTGGACCAGGTTGCGGTCAAGAGAGTGAATATGGAACAGGTTTCCGCGAGGAGAGTGGGTATGACTAAACTGAGCGCACCGAAGCAAGGTACAGAGCGGGATGTCGAGGATCAGGGTGCTGAAGATCGGAGCACTGAATATCAGGGTGTTGGAGGCTAGTGTGCGGGCCATCAGGTTTCTTCCAGTGCTGTGAGGGAGGAGGAAGCAACCGGGGGCGTCGTGCGTTTTCTGACTTCATTATTCACCAGCTTGTTGAGATGGATGAACGTTTTTTTTTTTCATTTTATGGGATATCCTCAAGGAGATAATAAAGGAAAAATTATTGAAGTTTTTGAGAGAATCGATCAGGGGCCGAGGGAAGTTGTTGCATTGCGTGAGGAGCTTGCAGTTTTCCGGGGGGGGGGGGGGGGGGGGCGTGCGGTG